TTCCATCACTTAGTCATATTGAACTTCAAGTATATTCATTTGATAATCGTGTATTTATTATTGATCTATTTCTCATTCGATTGGAACAATTATCTTATCCTAACAAACCTGTTATGATCAAGATACATTACTTGATGATCCTTTTACACGTGAATATATCATTATAAAACGTTGTGAAACATTTTCCGTTAACATTATTGATGAGCAGATGGTTAATGACAAAAATAATGGTCAATTTATTGAAATTTGGTTATCATGATTTGATTTTTTGTATGGATTATTTTTTTTAATTACAAAAATAAAATTATTTTGAAAATTATAATGTGTTTTTTTTTTTGAGCCAATTTAGTTGAAGTAACTAATTATTATCAAATAGATGTTTGATTTTGCTTGTCGTTAAATTAAGTTTAAAAGATCTATTAAGTATTGAGAAAGGCAGTTGAATTTAATTTCTCAATTATGTTGATAAAAGTATCATAGAACTTTTAGAAGTGAATATTTATCGTTTTGTGACGATGAGTTTTGGTTAAATTAATGTGGATGTTCGTGGGTATTAAACAAGCATTGACTAGTAGTTGTTGGTCAATGCACTATGTTACCTCATTTTCTTCCATCCTCTGAGAATTATCTATATTTATAGGTTAATCAGTTTTGTCAGGTTTTTGTATTGTGATCTATGTATTTCATGAAAAGTGATTTCTTCAAAAACTATACATATTGAGTGTGAGTGTGAGTGTGAGTGTATGGATATCTTCAACTATACCCACACCCGCATATATTGGGTGTTTCATAAAATCTCAACGGCTCAATATTTTGAGCCAAAAATTTTATGATAATTAGGACTTTTTGAGATGTATGTCTACAGGAAATTTTAACTCAATTGGTTTTGCCGTTTTTGAGATGTGACCCCATTAGGACTCCCATTTGGTACTGTAGTCAATTTTAGAACTTTTCATAAAATGCTCATAAAAAAAAATCGAAGAATCAATATTTTTGAAAGAAGTTTGCGGTAAAATTCATGAAACACTTTTGTCTACAATATGTATTAAATTGAGCAAAATCAGACGACCTCGATTGAGCAAGTACGGTCGTGACTAATATGGACTGGCTCATAAAAAGAAACATAGAAATATGTAATATTTGTCTCATCAGTTCTAATGAATGAACTTTTAATTCTTATCGAATGATATACTAGTATTAAAAATAACGTTAAGGTTTCAGAACATGTTTTATTTATTGAAACAAGAAAAAAAAACGAATCACAATTTCACTTGAATATTTTCATTTTGTTAACCTAATACAAGAACATTTTCAAATCATTTTCATATAATATTCAATCGAAAAAAAGTTGCCATTTCACGAGTAGATGGTTATTATAAATAATAATATAAACCAATTTGTCATCTATATATGAGATACTTGTTCATTAAAAATTTTATTTTAGTGATACGTTTCAATGAATTCTTTTAATGTTTGTTTAAAAACAAATCTAAACATTTGAATATTATCAATAGAATTTTTTCTTTTATATCTACTTCTTTTCATATATATTCATTAAAATTATTTGTATATAATTCATCAAGTAATATTATATATGAAACGTCGGTGAATAGGTGATTGCCAATTAAAAGAATAATAACGATGTAAATATTTTAATATTGATATTTTATACCATTCATGATGATGTAAAACACGATTAATAACCATTAAATAATCATCAAGAACATATGATAAATGACATATTAGATAACTATTTGATTTGAGAAGAATAAAGTTACTTTTAATTTCATAAAAACTATGTTCATGATCATCATAAATAAAATCTTCATAAACTTGAATTCTTTGATTATGAATTAATCAACAGCAACCTAATTCGATGTGAACGACCTTGTTGAAAATGTTCATCTAAATAAGAGCATAATGTATATTTAAATGAAAGAAAAACATTAGAATATTTTTCATAAATATATATCCATGAAAAATAGCAGCTATCGTCGATTATATATAACAGATGTTCTAGGATAAATTGTACTAAATCTAGGTACATTTTTCTGTCGTTTTCTAAATATAAAAAACATTTTTTTATATATACTAAAACATAGACGATTTCAAGCTACATAAAACTGTCGGTTTTGTTTTCCAAATAAGTTTTTCTTTTCGGTGCCTAATTAAAATGATATAAATCAGCTCAATATTATTCAAGAGTGACGGTAGAAAAGAAACGAAAAAAAATTTATAACTTTACAATAAGACCTAAGCTGCCTTTTAAAGTATACAACAAAATTCTTCGTAAAATTTTCCACCTTCAATTACATTCTCCAGAATTCTAGAGAAAATATTTGAGAAAAATCGGCTTTGAAAGAAAACGTATGAAAACAATGAAAAAGTTCTTTTCGGATAAACCTATACCAGAGTTTTCATTTTTTTTTTTGATTCAAAATAACCTAAGCCTTTTTACTGCTCAATCTTATAGTTACACTATTTTGTTCAAAATTAAATTCTATATTGTATGACATAATAAATCTTTTGAGAATGCCAGTATGACTTTTGATAACATGATTTTTCGAAGTGCATTCCAAAGTAAAGACAGATGTTAGTTACGAGATTTTTGCTCCTGAGTAAAAGCACTAGGAACTTTGAAAAGTCATTGCAAGATAGAACATAAAATTCTCTATCTATTAGCGTTAAACACTTTGCTTTTAGCACTGGTCTTGATTAACAAAATCTTACACTAATCAATAAATGTCTACAAAAAATAGCAAATCGCCGTTGAATGATTAAGTAGAAGTGAATATGTTTAATTATGCGCTGAAAGGAAAGACTTGTATGAAAAACATAGTCGACAGTTTTGTAGAATTTGACATTGTCTATCTTTTGATATATAAAGAAATTTTTTTCATAATTAGTAAATAAAAGAATAATGTACCAAGATTTACTACAATTTATCCTGGAACGCTCGCTATACATACACATTGTCTTATTAATATCTTTACTATGAAAATTTGAAATAACTCTAATTCAGTCTGATCGAATGAACTTATTTTTTGATTAGTGATAGGAGTTTATTCAGAATTGTTTTTCCACGCAGATAAAATAAAGCAAATACTTTTATTCAATGTTATTGTTGATCTCACTAAAGAAATTTTACTTTTTAGCAAGTGAAAAAAACTACATCTGAAGTTTTTCATAGATAACTTTCAATTGTCATTTAAGAGAATAAAAAGAAGAAGTCAAAACGAAGTTTATTAGTGATATGTCATTGATGCACATAGCATAAAGCTTTAGAATTAGTTAGTTCAAGTGCTACAATTTGTGATCCAATAACTAAACGAACACTTGAAGCCCTTTGAGCATCAAATCATCAATTTCCTTGCAAAAAGAATTGTGCTTTATTCTTGAAACTTGGAAATATTGTAGCCGCTGACTTTTAAATTAAGTAATTCTGAAAATTTGCTATTTTTGCATTAATCTAGTATCATGAATAAGGTTTTTTTTTACTTCTGTTTGTTATTTTCTTAGGCAACATCTAGCAGTTATCTATGGAACACTTCACATGTGTTTTGTTTTGCTTGTCAAAAGGTAAATTTTTTTCACGAGATCAACAATTATACTTAAGAAGAGTTTGCTTACCTTAACTGTATGAAAAAAAGTCTAAATAACTTTCTAATACTGACCAAAACATCAGTCGGTTAGATCGGACTGAAGCGGAGATATTTCAATTTTTTATCGTAAAGATATTAATGGTACACCCTGCATATATAATCGATTATAACTTGTTTTCCAAAAGAATTATATACTTTCTATGAAAAGATTCCAGTTAGGAATTCAAATTTTTCTATTTTTGGAACCGTAGATATGAAAAAATTTACATACAAAATCATCATCGAATGCTTTTAGTATCTATTAATATTTTGAAAATGTGAGACAAATTTTGAAAGAATGAGATTTACAGTTGAATAAAGTGATCCATTCCGAACATACACATTAGTTAAAAATTTAATAAACTTTAGAATTAGGCTGTAGTTAAAATTTTATTTTAAATGGTAAAAATAGAGCATTCTAATTTGAAGAAAAATGATTTCTGCTATACGTAATAGTAACGATATTCGAAAATTGCAAGAATAAATTCATTTCGAATATCCACAAAGTTATTAATTTTAATTTTCATATTCGATGTTTGAAACTTATTTTTTACTCGAAAAAGAACTTTATTATTATAGCTCTAGTAGTTATGTCAATGACAATACTATATAAAAACATTAGATATTACAAGAAAATTATATTATTATGGTTGTAAAAATTTTTTCGATACTTTGTGCAACAAACGAAATTAGCTCGAAGTAATGATCTGGTTTTTTTTACAATGAAAAACTCAAAATTGATTTCTACTTGAATAAATATGAGGGATTATTCACTTCTTAAGTCATCACTAGGAAAGGAATCAAAAACTATGATGTCATTATCAATAGTTATGTCATTCTATTTCTTTCTCAGATGAAAAGTGGCCCAGTGGCGCAAATTTCGTATTATGTAGTGTAAAATAAAAACCGAATTATGATAGGATTGAAAGAAATATAGAATGAGACAAATAAAGCTTTGTTCTTTTCTTAGCTAATGTTTCGTAAAAGACAAGTAAACAAACAGTTTAAAATTATTTTCTTAAGGTTTACTGTATTTCTGTTCCTAAATACTGCATAACAGTACTTGCTCAAATAACATACAATCCTTAGCTATAGCATACAAATTAACCCATCTTCAATTCATTTTTGAGTGTTTATCAATCGAGTACCGATAGACTTCACCATGTTCAGGAATTTCGAAATTATTAGACCTAGTTCGGTTTGGTTCCATAACCAAATCGGAGGATTCAAGCTGTGGTTAAATCTTCAAATAACCCTTCTCACATTGACCCTCCTTATTTCATTTAAAATAAATAAGAGACATATAAATAAACGTTACCCTATAAATGTTCTTGTGAATTGTGTACATTTAAAAATGGCCTATTTGTCAATGCGAAAGAACGGTGCTGACAATGCACATTGAGGTATTGCCCATCGTTCTGAAGATGTTGTTGGTGTTGTTGTTGTTGTTGTTGTTGGAGCATTCTGTTCCATATCATCATTAATTGTACGAGAGTTACTTGGTATAATCCATCGATTATGTTTTTTATTTTCTTGTAAATCATGCGTTCTTGCACTATTAAATTTTTCTTTAAATTCTTCATGATTATGATTAATCCAATTTTCAGAATTCAATAAAAAATTTGCATCTAAATAACCAATACTATCGATTACAATACCAAATAAACAGTCTTCCAGTTGAGTACCACCTTCAGCCATTTCTATATTGTTACGTGATGCAATTTTACGAGGTGGTGTTCGTTCATAAAAAGGATTGAATGCATGTTCTATAATCGTACGACGTAAAACATGAAAAAATTCATGTAACATGATCACTAATAATGCTCCAAACATAATTGAATTGTCCTTCAAATCTTTTGCATCATCAATCAATTCTAATAAAATAATATTTTTATTTATAATTATTGTTCTGTTGAAGCATGTGATGGCACTAAAACATGTTGATAAGTTGGCGAATGCCAGTCCACGTTTTTCAATTATCTCTTCAATTGTATTATCAATAATATCTGAAATAAAAACAATCGAATAGAAACTAAATATCATATTTACTTTGAGATTTAAGAGAAAATGGGAGGGGGTATTTACATCAACGTACCTTGAAGCGTTGTCCTCTTGTAGAGAACATCTTCAATGGTATATGTGCACAATAAAAAAAAGTCGATTAACTATTGATTGAATTATTGATTAAGTTCAAAACTAATTGAATACTTTATATTGGAGAGCATTTTAAAAGTCCTTTCTAGTGTATCATATGAATGATAGGTTTAGTTCATTCTACTATAGTTTTGTAGGAATAATGCCGTGCAAAAAAATAATTTTGAAGATGATTTTCTTTTATGCCGCTTTACTATTAATAAATCATAATTCATACTACATAAATAGTTTTCCATTGCTCTATGTTATTTCGATACTTCATATATTGTGAACGACAAATGACAAAGATCTGCTACTGCTATATTTAAATGCTCTTTTATAAGAGTGTCGAAAATTAAAAAAAAAATATTATTCTTCAAAACTAGAATGATTCAGAGTGATTGTTAATTATCAGGATTCGTTACACTGCATGATACATGTATATAGAAACTTTTTTCGATTACCAGATACTATTATCTATTTATATCCTGTAATCTTTATGTCACCATTAGCAATAAATCTTTTCTAATCTTTTCACAAAGTAGTAAAGGCAAATTATGTTGGATATGATGCATCTGTCTTCTCTATATTCAAACACCCATACCCATCCTCATTACTTTCAGCGTTTTCATTGTGATATTTTTTTCTATATGGACAATTTTCCTTTTAAACATCCTGCCTTTCGACATTTTACTATACTTTTCCATGTCATTTGTGAACTAGTGCTTGAAAATCTGACTGATAAATGCAAAATTATTCTTTGAATTAAACAGCTATTTTAGTAGCGATTGACTATGTAATAATATAAGAGAATAAATTGGTTCAGTATGATATAACTTATCAGTATTTGACTAGTATCAAATTTAAATAATTAAAATGTATTCTAAAAATAATGTTGATTATTTCAAGAATTACAAATCGGTTAGCTGAATATATTTACTACTACATGATAAGAAGACGAACTGATACCACTTGATTGCTGAGAACAAGGTTTAATCCACGATTTTTTTTAATTTCAAATACGAACTATTATGTAAAGGCATTTATAAAACACGCGAACGCCCACATCTTTTGACAGTAAGTAGTCCTAGTCAAGTTAGATACACGGTCAAAATTTCAGCCTTTAATATGCTTGGATAAGAAAAAAAAGCATGGACTTACTCAATTTTAAGCGTTATAATTGAATTTTGGCATTCCAAAGTCTATTATAAGGCTTAAAATTGAAAAAGTAGTTCCATGCTATTTTTCTTATGCAAACATATCAAAGGCTGAAATTTTGAACATATAACTCTCTCGAGTAGAGCTATTCACTATCAAAAGATATGGTTGTTCGTGGAACCAAATCAGCGAGCTCTATCTACCCATAGTATCAGCTATCGTTTTGAGAATGTTCGTGTGTTTTACAAATATTTATTATATAACATTTTCTTTCGAAATAGGCTTAAAGTAGTGATTTTTGTTGGTTAATATAAGAAATGTTTTTGAAAGAATTTTTTTACCTTTAAAACGATCAGCATCAAGTATATTTGTTGATTGTATTTCATCATTGATTAATTCAAAGTAAATATTTGTAACAAATTCAATATGTAAAATAGTACGAAATAATTGAATAAAATGTTTTAGTACTTTCCAATTGGATATATTCTTACTAATAATATCATCTTGTAATATACTTGACATCAAGCATAAGTCTTCAGTTGTTATTTTTCTATGTGAAATAATTTTAATTAAGAATGTACCAATAAGTGCAAAAAAAAATGATAAATCTAAATGATCATCATTGATTAGTTCGAATTTGCCAAAGATATTTTTTTTTTCTATTAAACGTAATAGATGACATAAATTAATATTATTTAAATCAGAATTTGCTTCAATAAAATTGTAATGTTTGTTTATCAAAATTGATAAAAACATGAAGAAATATTTTTTTAATAAATTCTCATCATTATAATATAATTCATATATTAAGTGTTTATACCTTAATGGTGGACAATCCTTTGAAATAGCTGTCAATTTTGTTTCGATATTTTTTACATTTAGAACACCATACACCACTTGTACAAATGTTTTAATGATATCATTAATCTTTTCTGATGTAAGATTTGATACATATTTATCAATATCATTTATATCATTGAGTCGAATTTGTATATTTTTCTTCTTAGATCGATTTTGATTAATATGATCTTTATCGAATACTGTCAATTTGTTTTTTTCTTCCGATGATGCCATTTTTTTCGTTCAAAAAAAAAAATCTACAATGTAAAAATGAATGCACGCTAGAATGTCCTTTCAAAAATGTCCTCGGACGAAATGTCCTTTATTTTTTCGTCCTCTCACATACATATATATGTAAGGACGAAAAAATAAAGGACATTTCGTCCAAGGACATTTTCGAAAGGACATTCTAGACTGTTACCGTAAAAATAGTCAGCCGGCAGAGCGAAAAAAGCATAGCGTTTTAATCGAATCAATATTGAATGCACTACGCGTGGCTACCTCTTAGAAAATTAAATGGGCTAAGATTTTCTTTAATATTAGAAGATAGAAAAAACAAAATTCTCTATCAAACTGTAGTTTTACTTTTTTCTAAAAAAGTAACATAGAGTCAATGCACCTAAAGCGAACAGACATCTCACTGGTCTTCATTGTGACTGTAATATCTTAGTCATTTTTGTCATAAAATAATTACTTTTATATCACGGGAAAGAAAACAAAATTCTGCATCTACTCATATAAAAAAATATTTCGTAGCTGTAAGAATATTTGAGTAATCAGCGGTAGAAAATCAAAAATTAAAAACGTTTGCTTTATGCGCATGTCCTTAAAGCGAACGCCCAGCAAGAAAATGTTCCTAAAGCAAACGCACCAGCAAAAAAACGAGCGAAAATAAAAAAAATTATATTATTTATCTGTTTCTGTTCACAAATTTCAATTAAATTTTATGAAATTTATATCATTCGATTCGTCATCCTTAACTCTATCATTCTCTAGCGGTTCAGCTTAATCGAATTTAATTTCAAATTTTTATTCCATTTATAAAAAAAAGATTCTCCGTTCGCTTTAGGTGCATTGACTCTATGCGCAATAGACGTGTTTTTTTCTACTCTGACGAATACAGTCCGATAGAGTTCCCTACCTATGCGCTGAAAGGTTTTCCAAATATTCATTCGATGATGCATGAAAGTTACGAATTTATTTATGCAAAAAGTATGATCGAGTAAAGGAGACTTATGAGATACGAAATACAATCAAAAGTACTCGACAGGTCCTTGTTTTTGGGAGTGAATTTGAAGAGGATATATGAGAAAGAGTAGCATTTAAAGAAATTAAGTATGAGTGCTTAATATATGGTGAAATAGGAAACAATATGCCTATTTCTTTTCTAGCGCTTTCTCATTTACTAATTTTTCACGATTTTACTCAAACATGTGAACATGTAGTTTGATGAATCGGAGTGCGCGTAAACATTAAAACACATCGCAGTCACACTATCGAAACGTAACTACAATAGTTGGACTATAATCAACTCATTGTGTTCATAGTTGATGATACTATGTAGTATACAGTACGAAACGAAATGATATTCGAAATCTTCAGTTACACATGTTTGTTTTAGGGTATGAGTATGTACATAAATGCTAAAAAAAAGTCAATAAGATATAGAGATTATACAAAATAGGATTGTTGCAGGAAACTGCTTAAAATGTCTTCAGCTTTATTTATTTAAGGAAATCTTCTAATGTGTTGAAGTCTCAGTAGAAGAGTTTATATCGTTAGGTGATAGCACTAGCCCTCTAGTTCTAAGAGATCAAATGTTGATTGATGAGGATTAATGAATTTTTGAGTAAGTACAAGAGAAGTATTTTCTTTGAAAAATTTCAAACTAACTATGAAAAAATAAATCATACAAAAGCAAACGAAAAACTTAGAATACAGTCATTAATTAATATAATAAGTTTAAATATTTAATCATATTTAATTATTAAATCCATTTGAGTAGATCGATATGAGCGAAGTACTTGACTTGACAGTGCCTATTAATATACAATTTTTCTTAGAGCAGCTAGATGAATTCATAGATTGAATAATAAATGAGCGGTAGAATTTTTATACTTGGACTAGATTTCATAATCAGAAAGTTTCAGTTCGAACAAGTTTATTAAAATTATAATGTATCAAATAGTTTTACATGTGAATGATAAATACGTAGTTTAGTTGTTTTAAGATGTAAGTTGAATCATTTTGAAACATATTATGAGATATGCAACTATTACAAAAGAATTTGTTAGCTAAAATTTTAAACACTTTCTCGAAGATAATGCATATATATTTAATATTGTCAAATCTTGTTATCAATAAAAACAATACCATATTTCGATCTAATAAGTAATAAAAATATTTTCTAGTACATATATATATATTTATATGATGAATTAAGATTAATTCATTGAATGAGACATTTAATCCTTCTTTAATTCAAAAATAAATAAAAATATAAACGAAATATATCTGACTCAATTCCGTTAGTGATGATCTTCAATAGTTTTCGTGTTCAATGTTTTCTTTTATTAAACTCGTGTAATATCGCTATAACTTGTTGGTCGTGATTCATCAATAAACGGAATATCATCAAGATTATCGTAATAGTAAGATATTATTGGTGTATTTCCATTAATTATATTTGATGATGATTTTCGAAGAGATGAAGATAACATATTTTTCTCCAATTCCTGTTTACTATTTGATGATATAGTTACATTTATATTGTTTGACAGCTAAATTAAATAAAGATTCTTTAAATGTGATAAAAAGAAACAAAAACTCTTACTGGATTTGACAAGGATAATTTAGTGTCAGATATTTTCTCGGATTGGTCAGGTATAAGAAGACAATCTTTTTGTTCTTGACGTTTTAAATTACGGCGTCTAAAAAGGAAATTAAAAATCGATATGTAAACTTATTAGATATTTTTGTCAGAAAACTAAACTGATGAACCAAAGAAAATAAGGGCTGAAATGAAAGAATATCATTAGCAATTCTTATGTTCTTCTTATTCGATGAGAATAATTTAGGATGAATATTATTATGAATCTCCATAGATTTCCTAATGTCTCAGTAGAATCACCAATGTTTATGAAAATTGTCTCGAAATAAACATCAAAGGACTTTTTCACTGATTGGTTTTCATGACTTAGATTAAGATTTATACACTATTCATTATAGAATATAGTTGAATAATAAGTTTATTTTCAGGTCAATTGAACAAAACTACTTGATAGTTATACATAGACACAGAATTCTTCTTAGAGATTACGGGAATGTTTAATGAAATCGTGTGGACAATTGATGATAGATCATGTATTAATAGAGTCGAAATCAATACTCAAATTCTGACCAATTTTATTTAAAAGGATAACTTATGTAAATCTAATTGATAACAATATTCTTTTACATACCGATTGAGACAAATACAAATACATGCAGAAATACATATTGTAAAACAGATGAGTACAGTTATTGCAGTAATAGCAATAAATAAAAGTCGCATAATTTCATTACTAAGTCTGAATTCATTATCGATTGAATCTAATGTGCCATTCATTGAACTATTATAAATTGATTCCGATTGACCGCTAATTGTATCCATTGATGGAACACTCAATGATTCACGAAGATTCATATTCTTCGATAAATCAGTCATAGTAAATCCAATAATTCAAGATTGTAATAACTGTGAACAATACATGATAAATTTTAAAAAAAAGTAGAACAAACTGATCTATATGTGTATCTATAAAGAAAAAAAAAGTATAGACATAAAAGTCAATATATACATAGAGTAGAAGAGAAAGAACAATGATTGATTTACAGATACATCAAGAAAAAGAAAAGAGAGGCCTTCAAATAATAAATAGATTTAAATTTAGTTTATATAAAGATATATTATGAGTGTTTATTTATGTATATATATATATAAATTTTTTACGTAGTTTATAAAAAAAAACCGGTAATTTGTGATGAATTAATCTTTACGTATAAACATGTGTAGACTTTAATTTACTTTGCATGGTCAATTAGTATTTATGAATGATAAGTAACTACGCGTAGACATGCATACACCTTTCAATGATAATAATGATTCTTTTCTTCCTCTTGAATAAGTTTTTTTCCTTTTCATGAGGAAGTGACAATGTTAAGAAGCGTAGTTTTGTCGTTACTTCTATTCGTTGAAATGATGCGTGAGATGCCTTGAATGTCAACGAGAAAAATATATTCAATTCACATTTACACACACATACACCATTCATATTTATTTGATGAAGAGAGGAAATAGGAAAAGACGATGAGATAAAGCAAAAACACTACTCTTTAAGAGATAATGAAAAATATTTCTTTTCATCTTAGTCCTCTTGACGAAGTCTTACATTGACACAATTGAAGATGACATTCAATTCAAGAATATAGAAAAACTTAATCTGATCTTAGAAGCTTTCTCTTCTTTTCTTTTATTAATTTAATTTTCATGCTCATTGTTAAATGTCTGATAGAAAAATTTGTTGACAATGCATTCTACAGCATAGCGTATAGATATATATATATATATATACAAAAGAAATAATTACTTGTTCATTGTTAAAAATATGCTTCGTTACATAGCTCTTAACTAACGAACGATTGAAGAAGAAAATTTCTAGATCGATATATTTTTGATAAAATGTAGCAATACAGTATCGTCGAGATTTAATCCTTTTTATGATTAAAAAAAGGAACATTTCTAGGGAAAAACTATATTGAAGAATCTAATGAGAGATATTTTTCAAAGATTGAAAAAAAAAATTTAGAATAAAAGGTATCGAAAAACTATTTCATAAAGTTTTTAAATCTAAAAACAAAAATTTACCTCATTAGAAAGGTTACCTTTTGATTCGTCTATGTCGAGTTTTACAATATAAGAAAGGAGAATTATTATTGCACCAAAATAAGAAATATTCTATATTTTTGTATAATTGGCGCTATGAACACTTTTAATAAAACATCTTCTAGTAGCACCTTTTTTTTCATAGGTAGTAGTTGCACTGGAAAAAATTTTAATTTTACTTCGAAAAAGACTTTGTCAGAAGCTATCTATTATTTATTAAAAAAAAAGAAGCTTATCAATTTTTCTTTTAAAAGATATTATTTGAAAAAGGATTCAACTTTGCTTCCGTTCCTTGTACGCTAGATCAATTATTTTAATCTTACAAAAAAGTCTTCATGACCATGAACATTTGTATAAATATATACATATATATGATTCTGGAAGTAGATAATGAAAAAGGATTAAAAAAATCGTGAGAAAAATTATGAAAGGATTTTGTAATACCTTTTAATTAAAGATTTTTTTGTAACCTTCAAGAAATATTTCCGACCAAATTCTTTTATATAATTTTGCAATAGACACTTTACATATTCTAACATTAAAAAAAAATTAAGTCTTTACGATACTGCATTGCAATATTGTATGAAAAATAAAATTAATACAGAAGCTTTGCTGTAAACACTAACGAGAAAAGCAAGCTTAACTTAAGTATGCTACTAATAAATTTCTCAATAATCGTGTCGACAAACCAGGAAAAACGTTCAATATAAACAAGAAAAAAAACAGACTGCACACTTCTTTCTTTCTAAACATAATTTTATGAATCAAAAGGCATAAAAAATTACACTAATAATAGTATATCCAAGAGAGTATATGTTGTATTCCTAAAATAAAAAGATGTACTCAACGTTATCTGTATACATTAGTATAGAATAATGATAATAAAAGTGAAGAAATAAAACGTGGAAGACACCAACAAAAAGAAAGAGGAAAATCCTAAGGCATCGTTTCCCTTCATGTTCTCTATGCTCGACTTCCGACGTCCGGTTAAGACAACATTCTTGCTACTACTTTAACATTGCTTAGTCAATGATGAAATCTGTGTGTGTGTGTGTGCTTTCGCATTATATTCATCAATAATTGATTCGTAGATAAAGAGTAGCAGACGTTCACATATTGAACTAATCACTTTTTTTTTGTTTTAGTTGTTTATCGTCGGTCAAATAGTTTTTATCGAATTTTTTCTGATACGAAACAGATTCTTATATTTTTCTCTAAATATAAATTAGTTTCAACATCAATCTATTATTGATCATTTTCTTCTTGATTGAAGACTACGTATAAGTACTCACCCTATCCCTTTAGCAGTTGTTTGAGAAGCATGCACACAATAATACATCCGTCTCTTCCTTTCTTTCAGATATGATTAAATTCATTGGAAGACACAATAGATCGAAAGACTGACACATGCATGCAAATATTTAACACAGACGGTTAAAGCTACACATTTCAATTAGCCATCATTATCATCGTCGAAGACGCATCATCATTCTTACAACAATAGTGAATCAAAAACACTCAGACCAAAAACAAAAAAAAAAGAAAAAGAAAAAGAAAGAATTTTCATCTACAAATGTTTGTAACACGATAAGCTTGTTGCTTAGTTGCGATCGATCAAAATAAAAATAACCAAATATATAGTAAGATGAAGAGAAAATCTCAAACACGCTACACGCACGACATATATTAAACATGAAAGAGTGACAAGCGAATGAGCAGACTACTTGCACGCGCATGCTCACTTGTCTGCAGATAATGGACTCGTATGCGTACTGCATTATTCTCTTGAGAGAAATTTTTTTCTGGCTGATTTCACACACACACATATATGTATATATATATATATTAAAAACTGATGTTCAGTCTATCTAAATTTGAATAAAAATGACTAATATTATGTTCATTTGATTTGTTGTTTTTCTTTATAATAACTCATAAAAAGTAATTTCCTTTTCTCCATCATCTTTTTAAATGAGCACACATGAAAATGCATTTTAAACAATTAATAATCATTTTATAAAAAAAAAAAAGAATTGTGAAATTCATATAAAATGTTTTTTCACAAAATTACACCATTAACATTAAGTTAGACAAAAAGTATCGTACATATTTTATAAAATTTTATTCATCAAAAGAAAGGTTACTCACAACAAACTTTAACAGACATTCATCATTCATTAAATATTTGTTATTAACCCGATCTATTTCTGCTTATCATTGTACGAATCTGGAAATGATTCATTTCATATTAAACATTTTATCTATAGATCAAGGTCAAACGAAATGCGTTTTTACGCATGGGAATATTCTCTCATTATTTTTTGTCTCAACATAATAAGTATTGCTTTTGTTTGCTATTGTATCAGGAGACTAGTGTTGACTATTATAGTTTGTTTTTAATACGCTATAAGATGGTAGAAACAAAGTATGCATATTTTTATCTGTGAGAACGAAGTAAATCAAGATTTCTTTTATATATTAATTATTAGCAAACCCTTTATTTTTTTTTTTGATACATGAAATTAGACAAGAAGAAAAACAAGAGGAAGAAATGATAAACACGAATTAAACTATATTGTTTGATTTTCTTTTTGGTATGTAGAGAACTTGTTTGAAGACAGAGCAATAAAACATAACCGGCTTGTTTGATGTGTTTACAATTCTGTATAACTATAATCACGATTAATTCCAATTGCACGAAAAGCTAAAGGACATGTAAAAGCAATATTAAATCCAATTGCAAAATAAGTTAAGTAATAATAGGGCATTTCAACTTTTGCAAAACGTTTTATTTTCGGATCTTTCCAATCAAGTCCATATATAAGAGATGTTAGACGTAAAACAATTGTTTTAACTATTTGTCGTGTAGCATAAATAATTAATAAACCAATTATTGTACGTAAAACACAATAACCTAAATTTGGTGCAATTATGGAATAAACTGGAGGTGTCAATGGTCTTTCTAAAAGACCAAATTTTTGCATTATTGTTGTTGCTGATAATAAACCAAATGTGCTACCTAATATAACAGTTGTATCTGATCGAGCTGTTGACCATTCTTGTACACTTGGATAACATTTTATTAAAATTATGCCCAAACAAAAATTAAGTAAAGGTGCTAAAGTAAAATTCACTTGAAAATTATCAATTATATTAACATATGGAAACATTATATAGATCAATAATAAGGCATATGCTACACCACCTATGATATCCTATAAAGAAAGATAAGGATGAAAATTGATCGAGGTCGTCCTCAGAGTTTGAAAGCTTATCGATAAAATTTATATTGAATTTTGATAGATTTATCGAAATGGACAAGATCTAAGGACTATTCAACATTACTGTGAAAGTCTTAGTTTACATAATACGCACGACAGATTGAAGAATTCTGATAAAAAAAATATTCAAATAAGTTAGTTTTATCCAGATTGTCTTCTGAAATGGTGACTTGAAATTCCAAGAAGATAAACATGTATTTTTGGAAATACAGACACATAGTACGTTGTAAGATAACTACAAACTTCGAAAGAGCACTATCCTTAAACTAGATTATAAAATGCTCCAATTATAAATTTCAGATTGCAATGGTAAAAAACCTTCCCTTCAATATATTATTTATCAAGTCTCTAGACAATTCTATTGCATATTCATTAAAACCATTACATACGATGTCGAAATATGTAGGAGTGTATTCTACGTGAGGGAAAAACGTTATCGAAATATTATTGTTGTTTTTACATATTTCAACAATGAGTACATTGATAAAAACTATTTACACACAGGAATACTATATCATTTATCAGTGTCTGACATCAGTAAAGTTTATTGACTTCAATGTGTCCATATCTGATCCAATGCATGGCAAAAAAAATAATAAAAGAATGTATATGGATGTTAGTCTTCTCTTCATTTCTATCTACATCCCTCTGCACACATCAATCCATACTCGATGGAGAAACAGAAATCTTTGCTACTTCGTCCTCATCCACACCCTTTACCATCGCTTAGTTTTTGATGCACACCATTCACCAATCTGATCAACCTATACGATCTAAGATTAAGTATTTTTTTCATGATTTAGCTCAACTTGAATCGGACTCTAGAGTCTATAAATCAAAACGAAATCACTATAAGATATGATTTCTCAGACGATATCATTAATTTCTTTTAAACACACTATAATTAACGAACATTTTATTAATAGACATTCAATCCGTTCACTGTCATGTAACATGAAAAGTACAACAGTTCATTTGTAATCATATATCATTTAACATTATATAATTACGACCTTCTTTCAGGCGTACATAAAAGTAAAAAAATTAAACTTTTCTTTTTTTTCGAACTTCAATCAAACATTAATGATATGATGAACTTTCAATACAAATTCATGTATTCATACTTACAAGAAATGTATGCATGCCAAGATAAATTCTACTAAGACAAACCCATATACATACAATAGTTGCACAGGCTAATCCAATTTCAATATTAAACTGAATAAAACAAAAAGATAATTAAATTCTATTTGTATTTTTTTAAATTAATTAAATTTACACTATAGCGTTGATGTGAAAGAAGTACAAGTGATAGTGGAATACCCATTGCAAACATAGCATGCGTAGAAGGGAAACCATATTCTCGAATATAACTACATATAAAGAAAAATGAATTCAAAATTTATTTAAAAAAAAAAAACTAATTTCTACCGTTTTTCTAATTGTAAAACAGGTGGTGATGATGGTCTTGGCATACCTAAAATATCTTTAGTTGCTTGTCCTATATACATAAAATATACCCAAAGTATTGAAACTTTTCTTGCTACACAACCATCAACATTCCATATCCTTAAAAAAATTAAAAAAACATAATAATAGTTTATCATTAAAAAACTTAATTTGAAAGAAAAAAGTTACCATGTTGGAAAAAATAAAATATAAAAAATTTCATTTCCAAGTGCAGAACCAATTTGAAAGAAGTAATACCAAAACCATGATGTTACTTTATAATCAATTTCTGAAGAAATATTTTTCTTATTTGTATTTTGATTTGTACTATGTTTTATTTCTTCGATACATTCATCCAATACATTTGTATCATAAGTTACTTTTCTTTCATGATGTGGATGAAATAAACCATTAGGAATATGAGATTTTTTATTATCATCATTAATACTTTTATTATTTTGATTTTTATTTAAATCATTTTCATTATGTTTTGATATAGGATCAGATTTACACATTGATGTTGGTAATATACCAAAATAACGTTGAAATTGTGCGACATGATCAGGCTTATGAAGCCAAAAAAGAAACGAACGAATTTGATTCCACATTAATCTAAATCAAAATAGAATTAATTATTCACGTTTTATCCTTCTTTTAAAAACAAAATATCTTTTTATCTATATTATCTATATGTGGCATAGACAGATGTTTCATTCGTCTAAATGAACATGATAAATGAAGCAAAAAAATCAAAATTTCAACAACCATCGAACTTGAAGAAGAAAACGAGAGAGAAAGAATAGAATGATTGTGTCAACTCAAAATTTATTTGTCAAGGATACAACTAAAGAAAGCAAATAAGACGATCGCTTTGTTTTTATTTATTTCTTACACTTTTTAAACTGTAAAACATCAAATTATTGATTGATTGATGAATCATTACGCTTTGCTGTGGTTTTTAATCAAAACTACTATTGGATATAAATTAATATGACTTCTAGCGCCAGTTCATTTCTATATTGAGAAAAAAATTAAGACATGATCATCATTGATATTTAATAATTCATATTCAATTATTTTTATATACTATTTATTTATTCGCTGATTTGTTTTGTCATGGTAACAGTTATGGGTGATGGCGACAGTAAAGTGTATTTCCTTGTAGTTGCATTAGGTAATTATAATAGGAGTACAATTGAAGTGTGTTTTCGTCGAAAAACATACAAAAATCTTTTATGTAATGTATACATTTGTATGTCTGTTTTTAATGAAGCGATGGATAAAAATGTTCACATATGTCAAAACTTGAAATTTTCAAATAATATTCTCATATACGTTTGATTCTTTAGGATTCTACCATATTATTGTTATTATCTGATTCTTATCACCAAAGTAGATATGTTGATAATAAAATATTAGAAAACAAAAGGTAAATGAAATTCAGTATCATATACATTATGAAGTGAATGGAAATGAATAATTATGGTAAGTAGGAATAAATTGATGATCATTGAACAGGAGAAAGAAAAACTCAATATAGTCTAAGATCCCTCGCGATACATAATGAAAAAATGTCTAATGGCAATAAAACCAAAGAGAATAAAATTTCAACGATCGAAATAAATGAAGAATCAATCGTCATTTGAGACAGACTTGATAGTGAGTTTTATGTTAATTAATAAATAAATTGATAGATATTTTAGTAGACAATGACATAAATGATAAAAAGTGAAGAATTTCATACCAAACAGCTCGTTTCTTTGATTGTTTGTTAGAAGAGTTTGTAATTCTTCGTCATTGATTTCTTTTTGTAGATAACAAACTAGCACAAGACTGAAATGTCATTTCGAAGTTCATTTTCAATTCATAAAACAAAACCACGTCGATTGACATCTCGTTCACCATTGAAACTACCTGCTGAAGAGATGGCACGTGAACTTGGAACACACTATCAAACAATAGATGCTCGTATTGGAAATCAAAAAATAACATATGATATTGCACAAGGCGGTTGGAAATCTGGTAACTTTCCACTGATCAATTCGATAGTCACGTACATTTTTATTTTGCTTATATAGATGGAACAGTTCATGCATTCGTCGACTCGAGAGAAATGGCTAAATTAGACAAATCTAAACGAGAATTAGAGGAAGATAATAATACTCTTCGTGTTAAAATTGATATGTTACTTGAAATGCTTGCTGAAATTACTGCTGAACATGATCTCCGACGAAGTGGTTAATCATCGAAAAACAATTTTTTTCTACGATAGATTTTTTGTAATAAAAATTAATAGAAAAGAAAAAAAAACTCGATTTGAGGAAAATAATCTTGTTAGTAATAATTGCAAGAAAATAGTATGAGTTGTATATTTATGAGATATTGAAAAGAGAAAATCGTTTGTTTCTTTATTTAAACAGCATATACAAGGCACACCTTTTTTTTTTAAATGGAAAATTTTGATCGAATATAAATAGATACAGGCAGTTTTTATTAAAACAATAAGAAACAACTGAGATAGTGTGCTAATAACAAGTATAGAGCGTTACGAAAAAAACTGACCGATTATGTAGTTACGTTCGATTACTAGAGAAAAATTTATTGCAGATTTTTAATCGTTATGACAGATTAATCAATCAATAATAGGTAATGTACATAACTATCGCACACAACTTCTATTGTTTTTTTTTTAGCCTCTTACTCAATGTACGAAGTAAAAATATGGTATTATATAAAATAGTAACTACATGCTAGAGATAGATAGAAAATCCTTGAAACCTTTATATATAATATAAGTTTACAACATTTTCTACTAGCTGTGTCAGAATTTTCGTTTCTAAACATTCCCTTCTCAAGGATAGACCATAACAGACGTTGATATATGATCAAAGACCGTAGCTTGCTAATACCTCATTATAATATATGAACTACTGCCTTATTACATTTTGGAAGGATTAAGTAAAACGATGATGAAGAAATGTGTGTCCTAAAATAGATGAAATAAAACAATCCGTTTGTGATTAGCTAGAGCAGCTATATCGTGTTTCTTATGTTAATCTCTTAGAGACTCAGAGATGGGCTAGCTTACTATGTCTTGTTTCAATTCCACTTCAACTCTGATGAGAAAAAGCGTCAGCTTCGAGATACACTCACTCATTTCTTCAAAAATTCCAAAAATATCTTTTTTAAATATATCGAGATGTTTATACGTTTTTGTCTATCTTTTTATGTGAGACTGTTACACCTTGTGGTTTCCTAGGAACAGAAACTCTGAAGTTTTAGTGCATTGTAGGTCACCCAAGCTCCAACTATTTTACAATGATTCGTATAACTAAAGAAGCCAGAGCAGCAGGAATCAAGTTAAAAATATAAATCAAATAACAATATCAGTAATAATATCAACTAATGATTAATAAGAATTTGAGTTGTTTTAGATGGTACTGTAATAAATTATTTTACGATTGACAACTAATATGTCTACAGCTGAGAATTTCTAACATCTGCTATGATCATTATGACATAGTTAACATTGATTAGAGACATCATTTTTTATTGTCATATAATTCATCTATTACTGTGTCTTGGCATGATGTTTAACTTGACATTTTGTTCTATTAAATATTTATTTTACCAAAAACTAGAGCAGTATAAATTGAACCCACAAAACAGCGGCACTCTACAGCGAACAAATAATAATATAAATTTTCATTCATGTTTATTGAATGCTATCAAACTATATTCTAATAAACACTAGGATGGTGATTTGAGTGACGATATTTATAAGATTATAAACATTTCACACTGACAGCGTCTATTTATGTTGGCTTACTAATAGATTGCAGTTGATTGTATTTTTCCTGGTAAAGAAAGCCTTATTACATAAGAAAAACTCGTTCCAGCTTCAGCATGAGGAAACAATGAATACAATTATAATAGTCGCAAGTTATCAAAAGAATTCATCAAAGAATAGAGTTTTAATCATATAAGTGAATATTCAAATTGTTTGACTTACTACTAGTCTCTAGTTAAAAATAGAATTATTTCAAATGAAAAATTTTCTCAATACATTTAATATTTAGCTATACGTCACATTTACAATTCTTTCTAGTTTAATTGAACGTGTTCTAATGTTCTTGTGCTTAAAAATAACTTCCTGTGTTAAATTGGGTATTTCGAAAGGACGATGTGCAGCGTCTGATAGATCAATTAATACAATAATGATGACAGAATAATTTTCTCTCGATTATTAACAAAAAAAATTCTGAACTATTTCATTCTCGAAGGATTAACTATTTTTATAGGTTGGAAGAAAGGTGACATCAAAATATATTGTTATTAAGCAATGCAGTGAAACAAAAATTCGACTGCTCATTCTCAGCAACACAGTAAAAATATTATTGTTAGCTACAGATAGTTATTTATTTAACCTTTTCAAAGTGATCAGCGTATAATTTATTCCCAAAAGTTTTCTTTTTAATGAATAATAGTCTTAATGAAAATTGAGTATCTATGAATACATTTTGTTTTGTTTTTGGTTCAATAAAAAATTCATAATACCTTTTATTTAGTTTTTACATGCATTCGACTTGTTTGTTCTTATTATCAGAAAAACTTTGAATCACGTTTTTGTATTGAAATAAGAATATGACAAGCGAAAACTTTGATAATTACAAAAAACTCTTCAAAATGTATCAAAATTTCATGTGTTTTTTTTTTGCATAATTAGACATAAACCAAGAGAGAACAATAATCAAGAAGAGAATTTTTTCTATTAGATTTAAAAAACTTGTCAGTCAAGCAAGATTCAAGCTGAAAATTACAAAATTGTTTTTTTTTCTCTGATATTGTTCAATATCTATTATACACACAGCAGTTTCCATCTTTTAGTTCTTTTTCTTGTCAAGTTAAAAAGTTTCGTTTTTAAAAGGACGACGATATAGCACACTACTTCACGTAAAAAGATTCGTTTCTAGTATCATCCATGATATGTATTTGTAATAATAATTTTCAGGTTGTTATAGACTCCGTAAAGTTAAGATGCAAACCCTTTATGAAGATATAAATGAAAAGAAAAAACGTGTGAGAACAAGAAAACAATGATAACGTCAATTATCACAAACTCTATATTATATCTTCCCGAGAAGGTCAGCATCTACGCATAAGTTAGTAGACCCTATGATCGAATTGGGACACGTCATCGGATGATAGCAGAACGTTGAGGGAGAAATTCCATAGACTAAAGTGGAAAATAGATTATAAAACATAGTGAAAAGAAACAAAATACGAAATACAGAAAGACCGAAAACTATATGTCATAGACAGATATGGAAGAAACTATACGTATGTGTTACATATGATAGAAGATGACTAATGATAGAATGAATGGAAAATACCAGTAAAATAGAAAAGGAAAATAATAAGTATGTAGTAAGTAGACCACTATCGAATAATTAGAATACTCTGTAACAATATAAAAATCATCACTACAAAAATATTTAGTCCAATAATAGTGGAAATGGATCTTTTAACGTGAAGTAGTATAGTGCATGATCTTTCTTTAGAAAACGAAAATCTATAACTTGACAAAGAAAAGAACAAAAATATTGGAACTTTTGTGAGTATACTGTGTTTGCATTTACATTGACTGTCGCATTTTTTAAAACATTGTATGTTATGCATTATAGGGACAAAACAAAAAATATTCGTAACTGTTGAAAGAAGAGATAGTAACTGTAATCTTTTAAGAGTTTATGCAAGCGCACTATATAGTGTCTATAGATAAAGAGTCAATGAAATTCGAGGAAGAGGCACCTAAGGAGGTTCTCTTGTAAGTTAAAATTTCCTAGGCGAACTTCTAACTAACTAAATCTCCCTTTAATTTCTCATTTTTCTTATTATAATAACTGACGTTAAGATAAGACACTTCGTATATCAATAAAAAAACAAAATAATTCTACGTCACCATCTTTATCTATAGTCGAACAAAGATGAGCTTAGCAATAACCATGACATGTGTAAAATTAGGATATATTTTGATTATTTAACATTAGTTATGCTCTACAATAATCGAGTTGCGTTTGTGCGATTAGAACCTTGAATAATAGAAAATTTAAATATCTTGTTCGAAGATACTACAAAAAACGAATTTATCATTTATATGACTTATTCGTTATTAACTTTATGTTTTACCCATTTTATTGGTACAATCATTAATATAATCGGTCAGGTAACTAACTTAAATTGCTGTTGTTTTATACATATATATGTATATCCAGGCGAATCGCATTCATTTTCGTTGGTTATCATTAAGATTATATGACCAAGTCCTACTCGATTAAACTTGATATTTATCTAAAAGTCTAGTAAGTAATGTGTGTCAATGCGCCTACTGCTCTGTCAAAAAAAAGACATCTTAAATCACCATAAAACTTTCATACAGAAAATGGATGCAAATTTTATGTACTTTTTTTAAATATGTACACAAAAAGAATTTATCAAAAAAGTCTTTACAAATATTAACATTTTTTTGTATCCTGTCTGTCATTAAAGTACAGTGGATGCGAAGAAAGTCTTAATTATTTCTAAGGTAGTTATAATCTAAATACTGGACAAAAAAAAGAAGACTAAAAGACATTTACTGTCAGATTTTATATATAAAGTTAATATTACAGTATTGATGCTATCAATAGAATTATATTTTATCTTCTATGCTGAGGAATACATAAAGATTTAAATTCAGAGAATTTTGAAAATCATTCTATATAAAACTTTACAATGACAGATTTGAGATAAATCAGTTTAGATTGTGTTAATTCCTTCAAATGATGATTAGTTAGAAATCATCAATAATGGTATGTAAAAAGCTCGCTTGTTTTCTTTTCCTTATGAATGTAATCTTTATGAATCAAATGGTAGAAGAATAGTACGAATAGCATATAAATCAAATTATGGCAAACATTATTCTCTTGAGACAATGCACTTGTCAACTATGTCTTCTTTGTGAATGAATAATTTTAAACAAAGTTTCTTAGTGTAAAATGTATCAATGATTTAGTAAATACTAATCAGCACAAAAATGATGACGAGTTTTCATTGATATTAATCATCGTAAGTTAAACGAGATCTATTAATAGATGTCCAATTCATTTCAATTCTCGTTATTTCCTTTCTTCTTTTTCAATTAAGATCCTTGAATATTTTACGATCATGTTCTTCTGATATTAGTATAGTTTTAGAAAATTT